AGATAGATAGATGGATGGATGGATGGATGGATGGATGGATGGATGGATGGATGGATGGATGGAATAATAAAATGATAGATAGATGGATGGATGGATGGATGGATGGATGGATGGATGGATGGATGGATGGATGGATGGAATAATAGAATGATAGATAGATGGATGGATGGATGGATGGAATAATAGAATGATAGATGGATAGATAGATAGATAGATAGATAGATAGATAGATAGATAGATAGATAGATAGATAGATGGATAGATAGATAGATGAATAGATGGATGGATAGATGGATGGATGGATGGATGGATGGAATAATAAAATGATAGATAGATAGATAGATAGATAGATAGATAGATAGATAGATAGATAGATAGATAGATAGATAGATAGATAGATAGATAGATGGATGGATGGATGGATGGATGGATGGATGGATGGACCCTGTAAAAATGCCCACATAATAACACAGCTTATGTGTGTCTCTTGCTTCATCGAGCTCTAGTGGTGTTTATGTGCTGTTGTTTTCTCCAGGTACTACCATCACCTGTTCTCGCACTACCTGCCCTCGTCTCTGCGAGCACTGGTGGATCACTCCTGCAACTGTGAGGACATCCTGATGAACTTTCTAGTGTCCTCTGTGACACATCTGCCGCCTGTAAAAGTGGCACAGAGGAAGCAGTACAAGGAGATGCCCAGCCTACAGGTGAGGAGAACACAACTCTGTAGTGCACTGGCCAAGCATAGTGCAGATCTGAGCGTTCATCTAGTACACTGATCAGGGCATCAGACATATTAGGTGCTGTCCCAATCACAATATTCCTCTTTTGGCTTAAATGTGATGCATTCCTAACATCTTGTCTGTTGTGCACTACTAAGGGCACTAAGATGGCACCGTGGGCGAATCCTGAGCACTTTACGCAGAGGCAGGAGTGTGTGAACACCTTCTCCAGCTGGTTCGGCTACATGCCCCTGGAGCACTCGCAGTTTCGGCTGGATCCGGTGCTCTTCAAGGACCACGTGTCCGTCCTGCGCAAACGCTACAAAGACCTGGAGCGAGTCTGACCGTTCAATATATCTGACTGACAGACGGATGAGAAACACTGCAGATCTGTCAATCACTCAGACCTGTCAATCATTCCAGCCGCTGATTAACTGGAGGACGGTGCTGTGGACTAACACACACGACATGAAGCGCTAATTACATGACCAATAAAAGACTTACAAAATGCAGACTGTGTGTGTTTGGCTGAATGAACACTTTAATTCGGCTGCTTTTTAGCAACTGTGAGTAAACAAATTGGTAGTTTTGAGCATTTTTGTCCACAACAAATTTTTTTTTGGTTCTATATATATATTTTTTTTACTTTTTTCTTATAAACAGCAAACACTCAGAGTCTTAAATTAGTGAGTTGTTGACTGGAGACTCACTCTGAACAGATCATTTGAATCAGTGAGTTCTTTATTTAAGTTATTTGCTCAGTCTGAATCTTTAGTAAACAACTCACTGATTCATATGATTTGATCAGACTGAATCTTTAGTAAACAACTCACCGATTCATATGATCCGTTCAGACTCCAGTAGACAAATAAGATACAAATGATTTGCTAAAACTGAATGTTTAGTCAACAACTCACTGGTTCAAATGGTTTGCTCAGACTGAATCTTTAGTAAACAACTCACTGATTCAAATTATTTGTTTAGTGTCTCTAGTAAACAACTCATTGATTCAAATGCTTCTTTCAGAGTATTCAGTTAACAACTTGATTCAAAAAATTCATACAGTCTTTACTTAACAACTCACTGATTCAAATTATTTGCTCAGACTGAATCTTTAGTAAACAACTTACTGATTCATATGATACGTTCAGCATCTCCTGTAGACAAATCAGATTCAGATGATTTGCTCAGACTGAATCTTTAGTAATCAACTCACTTATTCAAATGATTTGATCAGACTGAATATTTAGTAATCAACTCACTGATTCAAATGATTTGATCAGACTGAATCTTTAGTAAACAATTTACTGATTCAAATTTTTTTTTCAGAGTGAGTCTCCGGTAAACAACTCATTGATTCAAATGATTTATTTAGAGTCTTCAGTCACAATTCGCTGATTCAAATGATTTACTCAGACTGAATCTTTAGTAATCAACTCACTGATTCAAACAGGGGAGTAGCAACTGGGGGGGATGGGGGATATACGTCCCCCTCACTTGATTCAAGTTCATTTTTGATTCAAATGATCTGTTCAGAGTGAGTCTCTAGTAAACAACCCAGATTCAAATTATTTGCTCATATTGAATCTTTAGTAAACAACTCACTGATTCAAACAGGGGAGTAGCAACTGGGGGGGGACGGGGGATACACGTCTCCCTCACTTGTAGAAACGGACCATTTAGAAACAGGTTATTAATGATTATATGAACGTAAACTTCATAGATCCCCCCCCACACTTTTAATATGTCCACTAGCCTCCTGGATTTAAATGAGCTGTTCAGAGTGAGTCTACAGTCAACGACTCACTGATTCAAATCAGAAATGACTCTCTATAAAATGATGAACACACTTACTGTAACGTCATCAATCTAGTGTTGTGGTGTAGTAAATATACTTCCAACAGTAGTTAAATATTCCACAGTCTTTAAAACAACACCACAATATCATGTAATAATGAATAAATCCTGTCTTAAACCATTGTAGGGTGAAATAGAGCATTTATGAGTCTAAAGCTAATGATATTCCATAAACACTGAAAGAAACCACAACACTTTCTTTCATTTTGTGCAAAACAAATTTAGTTTACAATAAAAAAACGAGCACTCCACAATACACGAGACTCTTTTAGACTGTCTTTGCAGATTTGAGGAGTGTAAAACCCTCGATTCACCACAGTACAAAAGTGTGAAACGTTTCAGTGAACAAAAGACCAAAGTGTAAACATTATTATTTACAAACCTCATTCACAAGCCCGCCTACATCAGCAGCACGGCTTTCAGAATTACACCATTTCACTGCTCATAATTCAGTGCCTGATGAAGCAGATGTTAATCAGAGAGCTGAGATTTACCATAGTAAATGAGGCAGCACCACACAGAGCTGCCGAGACTGAGCTCACGTGTCAGGATATAGTCAATATTGTGCGTGATATGGATGAAGGTGTTCTGATGTGTGCCAGAATGGCTGTTATTTCCGCATGGTCAGCATGGCATTAACATCCCACAGCAGGTTCCTCATCTGGTCCATCAGCATCTTCATCTCCTGGTTCTTCTGCCTCACTTTCTGTTAATAAAAAACAAACAAGTTTAGTCATCTGTAGTGCAGAGCAAACATTAATCACAATTAACTGCATTCAAAATAAAAGATTGTTTTTACATAATGTGTGTGTGTATAGTAAATATTTATTATGCATATATAATTACACACATGCTTGCATATGTTTGAAAAAAAATGTTTATGCTTATTTAGATCTAAAATGTATATGTATAGGATGCAAATTATTTACAAATTTAAATATTTATGTGACAAAATAGTTGTTTCTATGCATCACATATACATAATACATCATCAAAACAGACTTTTAATAATAAATTAATTAATTAAATTTATAATAAACCTATAAAAAAATTAATTTATAATAAATCTTTCCCCAGCACTACTATTAATTAATGCATGCATCGCAGAGAACTGCTTAGATGTGACCTAAAGAATATTTATAATGTATTATATTAAAAGTCAGCCTTTTGAATATTTTATTTAAAGAATCCTGAAACATTTTGAAAGATCATTGTCCTGATTACAACCTTAGCAATGTATAATACTAATCAAACGCTGAATCAGTGAGTTGTTGACTAGAGACTCACTCTGAGTGAATCATTTGAATCAGTGAGTTGTTGACTGGAGCCTCACTCTGAGTGAATCATTTGAATCAGTGAGTTGCTTACTGGAGACTCACTCTGAGTGAATCATTTGAATCAGTGAGTTGCTTACTGGATACTCTGAGTGAATCATTTGAATCAGTGAGTTGCTTACTGGAGACTTAAGGCTGATTTATACTTCTACATCAAACACTGGCGTATACTACGGCGCTGACGCATAGCCCTTCGCTGTGGCCGTCGCTAACATGCACCTCTCAAAAAATGTAACTACACGTTGCAACGACGCGAAGCGCAAGCTCTATGATTGGTCGGCTTGGTAGCGCTGACGAGTCGGGGCGGGACCGAGAGCCGCGTGAATGGTGCGAGCCTGATGGAGCGATTGTTTACAAGTGTGGAGTCCCGTGAAGGAGCTCCGGATGGAAAGTTTTGTTTTGTGTTTACCTCATAGTTAAAGTTGTTGGCGAGTTTAAAATGGGCGAGTTTGAGCCACTTGTACATCCAGGAAGTGTTCAGGAAAAGCAAAACGGCAGTGAAGAAACTCGACACAGAGGAACATTTACACCTCACTGCCCACTAGCTTTTCGTAAGTGTTAATGCAGACCAACAGAGACAGCGCGCAGAAGTTGGTGGGTTGGTGGGTTACGCCGGTCACTCGACGCAGAAGTATAAACCAGGCTTTACTCTGAGTGAATCATTTGAATCAGTGAGCTGTTTACAGGAGACTCACTCTGAGTGAATCATTTGAATCAGTGAGCTGTTTACAGGAGACTCACTCTGAGTGAATCATTTGAATCAGTGAGTTGTTTACTGGGGATGCATATCATCAGACTTTATTATCTGAAAGCTGATAAGCTTTGCATTGACGTATAATAAGGATAGGACGGTATTTGGCAAAAATAGTGTTATTTGAAAATCTCCAATCTGAGGGCTTTAAAAAAAAACTACAAATATTTTAAAAATATGCAAGCAGAGGCGGGGTTTCTGTTGAGGCGACGGCAGTGTTTGTGTTGTCAAGACGACTACGGAAACTCTCAAAGATGGAGGAGAGACAAGCGGATGCTGTTTGAAATTATCCGGAGCTTCAACAATCTTGAATATCACAATTTATGAATGTCACATATTACAATTACAACAATATCCACAGCAGTGCTCATGCACAATACGCAGCTGATTCAGTCGTGGTCTAGCGACTAAACAGTGCAGCGCACAACTTTTTTCTTGTTAACAACAACAACATCCAAAAAGGCAGCGCGTTGCACCTCACATAGTCCGAATGGAAAGTGGTGTTTGGTGTGATCGGCCCTGAGGCTAATTTAGTGATCCAGCTTTAGATATTCTGTTGTACTAACATACTGGCAATGCAGCAGCATGTTGAGAGAAAGCAATGAAAGCAAAAGCACCTCCAGAACCTCCTGTCTCTCCTGTAGAACCGCAGGACTGCATAGCTCCACTCTCACAGCAGACACCTCCTCGCCCACATACGGCACCAGCTGCAGGAGTTACAGCACACGCATTATTGACAAAAACATCAATTATTGATTTATTGTGCACATGTTCAGAGGGAATAAACATTTCAACCAAATTAAACTGCAAAAGTAGTTTATGAGAATACCTCGGCTGGAGTCTCCTGGAGGTCAGAGGTCATCTCCACACAGCGCTCGTACAGCAGACGCAGCTTCCGGAAGAGTAAAGTCAGCTGACGCAGATGCTCCTGCAGCTTCCCGAAGCGGTCCTGATACGCCGCCTGACTCTGGGTCACACCGTTGGGCAGCTACAACACACACGGTTTTTAAAGTGTTGTCAAAGACGATTATTACTTTATTATTACTTGATCTTTATTGATTTTTTTTAGGAACATATAACAGGTGAGAACAAAACGGGAAAAAAGATATATATACACATATACACACACAAACCAACAGTTTTTTTTTGTTATTTCCCAAATGATATTGAACAGATTGAGGAGTTTTTCACAGTATTTCCTATAATATTTTTTCTTCTGGAGAAAGTCTTATTTGTTTCATTTCGGCTAGAATAAAAGCAGTTCTTAATTTTTTAAAAAACATTTTAAGGTCAATATTATTAGCCCCTTTAAGCAATATTCATTTTGAATTGTCTCCCGCACAAACCACTGTTATACAATGACTTGCCTAATTACCCTAACTTTACCCTAACTAACCTAGTTAAGCATTTAAAGATCACTTTAAGCTGAATACTAGTGTAAGAATATCTATTCTAATATTATGTGCTGTGATATTAAGTGTTTTTTTAATATCGTGAAGGAGCAGTTAGACTCTGCTGGACTGACCTGTGTGGCCCGTGTGATCTGGAAGATCTCCATGGTGCGGGTGACGATGTCCTGCACGGTCTCCTGTCCGATTCGGCACAGGTAAACGGGTGAGATCTCCCGCAGAGCACCCTGAGGAGCCGCACCAGGTGGAGGAACACCCGGCGGCAGGCCAGACTGAGCCTGAGATGGAGGAACGGTGGACAGAGCCGTAGCCAGAGCCTTCTGAGGAAGAGGAGCCGACATCTGAAACACAGCAACATGGTTTATAGTCATATATCGTTTCAGCATTGATAACACAAAGTGCGAATCTGCAGAAAATAATGTCCAGTACAGAATATAAAGTCCTGCTGCAGTGGAGACAGAATGAATATTGTGTCTGACTCCATCATGAGCTTGGAGGACTGCATCCATACATCTCTGACATGACTCACATCACTGATTAATAAAGTCATCTGGAATGAAGAAGAAAGCCTTCAGCAGGATCCCAGAGTTCATCAAGATTCATCTTCAACACCTCCATCATACCCCAGACATGCTCAATAATGTTGATGTCTGGTGACTGGGCTGGCCAATCCTGGAGCAGCTTGACCTTCTCTGCTTTCAGGATCTTTGATGTGGAGGCTGAAGTATGAGCAGGAGCGCTATCCTGCTGGAGAATTGTCCCTCTCCTGCGGTTTGTAATGTAATGGGCAGCACAGATGTCTTGATACCTCAGACTGCTGATGTTGATCATCCACTCTGCAGATCTCTCGCACACCCCCATACTGAATGAACCCTAAACCATATTTATAGATTTAATAGACCAATGACTATTAAAGTACAACACTGTTTACAGTCAAATAGTGCTAATGTTGTTTTGAAGTCACTCTTACGTGATTCCAAGCCGAATATTTAAAGTACCAGGGTAAACAATATAGAGAGCCCGTCACAAGCTGTCACCGAATGAATGTGCGAATATAAAACCAACCGTACCTCAATGGAAGTCAATAGGTAATTAGCGGTTTTCAACATTTTTCTAAATATCTATTTTAGAGTTTAACAGAAGAACAACTTAATAATGGTTTGAAACAAGTAAATGATGGCAGAATTTCCATTTGTGGGTGAATTTACGTTATCACTTCATGAATGAACAAAACTGAACCGTGTTTATAAAAGAACAACGAGCGAACGGATGAGGAATGAATATAAAGGCAAAAAAACTCACTGCGCTTCTCTGTGCTGCTCCTTAATTAGTTTAATTCCGGCGGATAAGAGTAATAATCTCCTTTTATTTGAACGATTTCTCCGCTTGCTTCCATTCAGTTTCAAACGGAGCGTCAGCCATCACTCGTGTTATCATTTCCGGTTTCATGGATCACATAAAGGTACCACTACAAATTTATTGTTTCATGTTTTTTTGGTAATATTGTTTAACATTTTTATTTAACATATTGTATATTACAACAGCTTTTAAAAAGTACAATAAAAACAGGTGCAAAAAAGAAACAAATTACATACATAATAACATTACATAAAAATAATGAATATATCAAAACATGAGTTTCTACTAAAAGTGTTCACGTTCCATGTTATTTATAACTTTGCTTATATAGAAAAACGATAGTCGGAATAATAAAGCAGTAGTAAATAAATCATTGTTTTAAAGGTATACATCATTTCACGTTAATAATTGGTATTCATGTATATATTTCCCCTAGACTACAATTTTCGGTAATCAACAATTCTCAACTCCACATGGTTGATGAACATACAATACAAAAAAAACTTTGACATTATGCCAGAGACTGTAAAAGAATATGCTTTCGATTACCCAAAGACCTTTATTTTGAAATCGTGTCCTCTCATTTTGTTTCGCGAGATGTTTCATCCGCGTATCTTCAGCGTGTGTGGACGAGAATCCTGCCTGCTTCAGGTTTGTTGACTACTGTAATATAATGGTGTATATTTATTACTTTTTAAATTTTATCTACACCTTTTTTAGATGATTTATGCCATGTATATGTGTGTTAAAATATTACTTAGCTTGTTGTTACTTAGTCAGTTAATTTACTTTGTCTTAATAATACAGTAATGAAATATGAAATAACAGTAAACGATCTGTAAATTAACCATATATAAACTTTTAATCTTGATAACGTTTTAAAAACGTCTTTCTGATTTTGTTTGTGATGTAATAGTGTGCGCTTTGGGGTGATTAGTTAAGTTATTGTGAAACGAGCTGAACAGATAAGCTTGAACGTTTCCTCAGTATTAAAGGGTCAGTTCACCTAAAACTGAAAATTCTGTCATCATTTACTCACCCTTTACAAACCTTTATGAGTTGTTTTCTTCTGTTAGAAGATATTTGGAAGAAATGTGGAAACTGGTAACCATTAACCTCAATAGTATTTGTTTTCCTTCTACAGTCAATGGTTACAGGCTTTCAGCATTCTTCAAAATATCTACTTTAGTGTTCAACAGAAGAAAACAGCTCATAATGGTTTATAACCACTTGAGGTTGAGTAAAAAGGGAGTAAACTTACATTTTTTGGCTGAACTATCCTTATAAAGCAGCTGTATAAGTGTTTATAGAGGTAAGTTGGTTATCGTTTTTGAACACTGACAATTAGTGTTATCGTGCCTATATTGTTCACCACACTACTTTGAATATTCAGATTGAAATTGCTTGTAAACATGACTTCAAAACATCATTAGCACTATTTAACTGACTGTGAACAACATTGTACTTTGATAGTCGTTTGCATAAGTACTTTTCTGATTTTATATTATTAAGGAGAATGTCTGAATGTGTGAATATAAAAACTTTACCTCAATTAAGTGTTTTAGCCATCAGTTCTTCTCATGCACATATATTTAGTCCAGCAGTTAATAACAGTGTATCTGATGTGTTTCAAAAAAATCTAAATTTTACAGATTTTTAAAAAATGTAAAATTATGCATATGAATAGTAAATATATTATGCATTTTAAAAAATTAATTGTAGTATTTTCTTTAAATAATATCCAAATGTTTATATGATTTATTTATAATAAAGTTTGTAAAGTCCTATTTTTTATAATTTTGCAGATATATATTATATGAGAGACTAAATAAAACAATGTAAGAGGAAAAAATAAATAAATAAATAATATATATATATATATATATATAATAAAATAAATAAAAATAAACTAAATTTTATATATATATATATATATATGTGTGTGTGTGTGTAAATATATATATATATATATAAATATATATATATATATATATATATATATATATTAAATTTAGTTTATTTTTATTTATTTATTTTATTTTGCATGATTTTTTGTGCATTATTTTTCTATTTCTAAAGATGTTCGTTGAATAAAATAATATTTAAGTAAATAAATCTGTGTAATATGTCCTCATGCACATATATTTGATCCAACAGTTTATGTGATGTGTGTTTATATGTGCATATATTAGGTTCTGCAGTTAATAGCAGCACATCTGATGTGTGTTTTATATAGGATTGAATGTGAAGATGGCAGAGATAGGCTGTCCTGACTCCAGCACTGAAGGGCCCGGCTCTGGCTCTGCTGACAGCCCGGGGGCCCTGAGCCCGTCTCAGAGAGAGCTGCTGGAGCGATGCCTTCATGCCCTCAATCATGCCAAGAACGACAGCCACACACTGGCAGCGCTGCTCCTGGTACAAACACACCTACACTCATGATGCCAATATATAGTTTTCGGTCATGTGACGTGTGTGTAGACCTTCCAGGTAAAAAAAATAAATAAATAACACTGAGCCATAATGACGGCTACACTGAGCTCTTCATAGAAATGCAGCACTATCCACCCATATTTCCATAATTCAATCAAATATCAACAGAACAAAACAGAGAAATGATCACAAACTGCACATTGTGGGCACCTGCCATCCATATACTTCAGTGTTTTAGTCACTTAAAATCCTCAGAAATAACATGTCAAAAATAAGTTAGTTTTTTCTTAAAACAAACAAAATAATCAGGGTAATTAGCTAAATAATATACAGTTGAAGTCAGAATTATTAGCCCCCCTGAATTATTAGCGCCCCTGTTTATTTTTTCCCCATTTTCTGTTTAATGGAGGGAAGATTGTTTCAGTACATTTCTAATCATAATAGTTTTAATAACTCATTTCTAAAAACTGATTTATTTTATCTTTGTCATGATGACAGTAAATAATATTTTACTAGATGTTTTCAAGACACTTCTATACAGCTTAAAGTGACATTTAAAGGCTTCACTAGGGTAATAAGGTAAACTAGGCAGGTTAGGGTAATTAGGCAAGTTATTGTATAACGATGGTTTGTTCTGTAGATTGTCGGGAAAAAAAATAGCTTAAAGGGGCTAATAATATTGTCCCAAAAATGGGTTTTAAAAAATTAATAACTGCTTTAATTCTAGCCGAAATAAAACAAATAAGACTTTCTCCAGAAGAAAAAACATTATTAGACATACTGTGAAAAATTCCTTGCCCTGTTAAAAATCATTTTGGTAATATTTAAATGAGAAAAACAAAATCAAAAGGGGGCTAATAATTCTGACTTCAACTGTAGTTATTTTCTTATTTTGACTTATTATTTCTGAAACCAAGACTAAATGTTTTGCTTGTTTAGAAAACGCTTCCTGATTTGAGTATCCTTAAATATTTATACTAGAAACAAGACAAAAACTCTAATCTGAACTCTGCTTTGCTCTGGTCTGTATTTTAAATAATTAAAATAAGAAATAACCTTAATATACATTTGATCTCCCCTATAAGGGTTCAAACCATTGTGAATGCATGATTGCAGTCTCTGCAGGAAAATATATATATTAGTGCTGTCAAAATTAGTGCATTAACGCATGCGATTAATTTGAAATGTTTAATGTGTTAAAAAAATTAACGCAGTTGCAGTTTTTTTTATATTTCCTGTTGTGGCCGACGTGTGTTAAACATGCAAAAAAATATGGATAAGACCAAGGAAGCACTTTTTTAAGGCAGGTTTCAGTATAAAACAATTAATGTCGTATTACCAGGCTTTCCAGCGTTTCCTCCACAGTTTCATGCAATTTCAGGTGTCATTTTTAAATTTCGACTTCTGAAAAAACCTCCGCATTTCGTGACTCGGTGGTCCTTTAAGGTAATCAAAAACCGCTGTTTACATGGTCGACTCTTAATAAGAGTATAATCTCAATCATATTAAAATCGGAGTATTGGTGTCCATGTAAATGTACTCAGAAAGTGCCAGATGAAGTCGCGAGCTGTTAAAGACAGCGCATTCCTCTGCCTTTTAGCATGCGCCCTCCAATGTTTCATTAAGTTTGACCTGTGTCCCCCTTAAACACAAGTTTTGTTAAGCGTATGCTTTGCGTTGTTGTGTTAGAATCTTTGTGAAATACAGCCGTACTTTAGAATGCGTGTTGAATCTGAAGGGAGTCGCTCCAGCTGCCCTGTCCTGCGCGCGTTGTGTGTGTGTGTGTGTGTGTGTGTGTGTGTGTGTGTGTCTGTGTGCGTGCGCTTCTGTGTGACACAATGTGTACCTGTGTGTGCCTTTAATGTACCGCTTGATGCTGCTTACGTCCTTGTCGCAGCACCAGTAGCCACAAAATTCGGCACCGAAATGCCAGTTTTCACTCTCAGCTCACATCATTCCAAAGAAAAGGTCCACATTGTCCCCCGGTAATGTCAACAGACTGGACTGTCTTAGCAACTGTCTGAATGTAAAGGAGGACTAAGCAAAATTGTTTCTACTTTATAATTACTGTTCTCAACTATCATCAATACAACTTTACAATGAGTGCAATTGTTTGTAATCAATACTTTATTATAATTTTCTTTATTGGTATCGATTGTTTTGAAATTCAAATAGCACTAACATGCCTGTGTTTTTATTTCTGTCATGAATATGGCTGTCAAGCCAGGATCTTGATGGGGTTTGCCACTGATACTTATATATTCAGTCTGAATGCGGCAGATACAGCCCACCACTTTCATGGTTATCTGTTTACTGGTGCACGAATGCAAACTTCTCAGCGTTTGTTTTTTATTAAAAGTCTTTGAGAATCTGCTGAAACATTCAATCAGAGGTCAAAATAGACTCAATATCACTCAAACACTGCACACTTAAGTAAGTTTGATTTATAAATGACATGTAATTGAATTAAATATTTACATCTGACTGATGTATTACAGAAAAAATTACAGGTTTAATACGGAAATATATTTGACCCTCTGATGCTCAGTGTATTCACACATTGCTCATGGTTTTCTTTATGCATTTAGATCACGAGGTTGTGTCCCGCTGCGCAGCTGGATCCCGAGACTCTGCAGCG